GGGTGCGGCGGGCTCGTCTGCTCTGGAGGGTTTTGGTTAACAGTATCAATCTGTGAAATTGCACTTGGATGTTTTGGATGAAAGCCTCGCCGTGGCCTGTGGGTCCATGCCGGAGTTGTGCTCAGGTGGAGGAGGAGGTGAGGGGGAGTGAGAGGGGAGTGGGGGTGGTGCGTTGCTATGGCATCATGATGGGCGTGTCTGAGAAGACAGACATAATGGAGTCTGTCTCCCCCGCCCTGTGCCGTGGCTGTTGCTCTGCCCCTAGCAGTAACCCTGGCCCCAGGTGTCCCGGCCCTGCCCTCAGCCTGCCATTTTGCTGCTCTCTGATTGGCTCCAGAAACACCACATGCTTGTTGGTACTGACCTTGCGGCCCGGGCCCTCCGTGCTGGCCGGCGGGGTGGGGGTGAGGATGGAGGACTGGGCGCTGCCCGCCCCAGCCTCGTTTCCCAGACTTGGGGTGGCCGTGGCCGGGGGCGGGGCTTTCAGACATGGAGGGCAGCGGCAAGGCGTCAGGTAGAGGTACATGAGCACCAGCACCAGGCTCACCACGCAGCCCAGGAGGGTGGTGAAGCCCGTGTTGAACGGTTCCTGGGGGTCGTTGCTATCCGCCAACACCGTGACGTTGACCTCCCATGTGTCGTTGCGGTGATGCTGCCGGTCCTCCGCCAGACACCAGTAGATCCCGGTGTCCTTCTCGCGTGCCGCCATGATCTCCAGGCTGCCGTTGGAGAACATCTTTAAGGACCCGTTATTCCCCGGGGGCAGCACCGACTCCAAGCTTGGCGACACCCAGAGGAAAGTGATGGCGTGGCCGGAGAGAGTGGTGGCACAGTGCAGCAGCAGCGCTTTCCCCGCCGTCACAGTAACACTCCTCTTCTGGGTCACGGCACTCAGGTTGCACTTCTCCAGGTAGCGTCCATGCTGGAGGAAGCGCACAGTGCCTCTCGGGTTCCCGTAAACCAGACAGACGTGCTCCTGCCTGAAGAAAAGCAGCGACTCAAACTCCTGCTGCTCCCAGGACCGGAACAGGCTGTACATGGGGCACTCGCACCACAGCGAGTTGTTGTGCAGGTAGAGCCCCTTCTGCAGCGAATGGGGCAGGGCCAAAATGTCCTCCAGGGGCAGTTTGGACAGGCGGTTTGAGGACAGGTCCAGCAATGACAGGTGGGGGTGGCTGTGCTTCTGAATGGAAAAGAAGGGGAAGTCTGTGAGGCGGTTGTGGCTCAGATAAGCCTTGCGCAAGTTTGTCAGTCCAGCCAGAGGTCTGCCCTCCACCCGCGAGATCCGGTTATTAAACAGCAGCAGCTCCTCCAACCCTGACAGCTCCTGGAAGTAATGCTCCTCCAGAACACAAAGATGATTGGATGACAGGTCCATGTTTCGGAGCTGAGCTCCGGACGAGTTTCTGAACGCTCCCGGCATGATCGCTGTCAGCTGGTTGTGGGCCAAACGTAACGTCTCCAGTTGAAGAAGTCCTTGGAAGGCGCCGTCCTCCAGCTGCGTGATGTGGTTGTGGCTGAGGTCCAGGGTGACGGTGGAAACCGGCATTTCTCCGGGAACGTGTCTCAGAGTCAGGGTAGTGCAGCTGAAGATGTCTGCGGCGCAAATGCAGCCGCCCGCCCGATAGGAGCCCCGAGACGAGGTGACGGCAGCGTGTACGGGGCTCGGCCGGTGCAGCTGCAGGCACACCAACAGCAGCACAGCAGCCCGCCACGCTGTCGGAGAGTCCACAGCCTGCAGGAATTCCGTGTGACCACCGACGTGCGACATGATGCCACCAGCGTGTGTCCCTTACTTTGAAAGAGCCTCAGTTTGCTGTTCACATCCTTCGTGCGCCGCGATTCATCTCATTTTGGCGTAACATGGTCGACACGTAAACACAGAGCAGGCGGAGGAAGCTTGCTGTTGCTCATAGTGTACGAGTCTGTGCGCGTCCTTCACTCTGAGCCTCTCATCGTCTCCTCTCAGAGCGTGGCTGTGGAGCGCGCTCAGTGTGCCTCCAGGCTGTTTGTTTGGTCTAACTCGGTTAATGTTGTCCACCTGCCAACCCGGCAGACGCCAGGAGAGGAGATGCCTAAATGGGTTATGTGAGGTGGAGGCGTCCCAGCACAGACTCCCTCTGTCAGTGATCCAGGTGTGCTGCGATGTCAGAACACCTGTCCCTGTCGTCCCATTTATCACACAGAAAAGTCAGAAATCACTTCCTGTCTCCTCCTTTCAGCCCATATCTGCTCCGTGGGCGTCCTTCTTCAGCTCTGCTCGCTCCGGGAGTTTCCTTTCCGCACTCAGTCTCTGCTGCTGTGACGATGGCGAGCTCCGAGCGCCTCAGTTTGATCCTGGGATCAGACTCTCAGTGAGGTCGGCATCCCGTCTGCTCCACACTCGTGCTCCACACTCGTCCACCACGCCGCTCTGCTGCTGCCCTGCGCTGTCTCTGGCCGCACTGAGCGCGCTCCTCGCTGCTCCCTCACAGATGTTGCTGTGTGTGTGCAGGTGTGTGTGTCAGTCGCTGCTGCCTCCGTCTCTTGACTGCGCTCGGCTCAGATGTGAGCTTCGTCTGTCGCTTCTGGTGCTTTCCCAGCTCCACCTCTCCTCCTCCTCCACTCTGGATTAACCCTCTCTCTCTCTCCCCCTGCTCCTCCTCCTGCTCCTCCTCCTCTCTGTTTTTGCTGCTCTGCTGCTTTCCGTCTCTTTTTGTTTCAGGCTCACACTTTGTTTCCGTCTCCTCCCTCCTCCTTGCTCCTCTCTCGGAGGCGCCGTGTGTTTCCTCGGAGGAGCGTGAGGAGCAGTGAGATGAACGCTCCTGTGATTTTACTCACAGAGTCAACAAAAATGATACTATGATCATGGTTTGTGTGATGATCAGGAGGAGGCGGGGCTCCAGCATTTCAATCTATGACACCATGAATACTTTGTGGCTCCTCCCTCCATGAACGCCATCTCCTCCGGGTTGTTCTCAGCCATGTGTGTGTGTGTCCCTGTCTTTTGGTTTTCAGTCACAGTGTGTTTTATGCTGATTTGCTGTCACAGGATTAACATTGCACACACACACACACATTCAGACACGCAGAAACACACGCTCGCGCACACACACGCATGCAGATAAACACAGACACACCGACACACACATGCAGCATGCGCATACACTACAGACACACACACACAGACGTCTGAGCCCGGCGTCTCCGGGTGGCGTGCGTCCTGCCTTTCTGCTGTCGTTGCCCCGCCCTGCAGGAGGACGCAAGCTGATCTCAGCCCAAGGTTAACATGAACACGAGCCCTTGAAGAGCTGAAGCTGACCTCTGACCTCTGACCCTGATCCTACCCTGCTGGACGTCCTGTAACGTCCGACTGAAGCAGCTCCACACAATAAAAACTTTATTAAGTCCAGCAGCAGGTAGAACACGGCGTTCTCTACCACGCACTGCTGTCATTGGTTAGACTGTGACACGTGACTACTGATGTAGTGTTTATTCATCTATACTGAAGCTGCTGAAGGAAGGATGGATGTATTAGAGGTGAAGTTGAGGCTGAAGTCAACGGTGTGAGGCCATGGCTGACTCGGCTGTTCTCCTGACCCTCCCAGACGTCCCGTTTCCTGTGACGTTCCTGTTCATGTGCTCCGTGTATCATTAGTGCCATAGCTCTGAACACGCTGCCCTTTCCTGGTTTATTATTAACGAGGGAACACGATGGACTCAAAACACAGCCGGCGACATTTCCAGCTGAGCTCTGTGACTCAGTTGTGTGGATGACGGCAGCCTACAGGACCGTGGAGGGGGGGCGTGTCGAGAGGCTGAAAAGATAAGGTCACAGGCGGTTTTACAGGGAAATGTCACCATGCTTCCCTCAGAGATCATCCTGTGAGGGACTCTACCCAGTTTGCTCACCGCTGAGCAACGAGCCAACATCTGCATCCAAACAAGAGGGGAAGTGACCGCTTCTGTTTTTCACTTTAAAAGCTTATTTTGGCGCCCTGAGTCACAGCGGCTAGTGCTGCATGTTTGATTCTGCAGATTTTTGCCCCCTGTGAAAAATAAAGCCTCAAATCAGAAGAAGTATTTCACTCCCTGGTATAATTCTCAAACACCTATCAAGCACCTATAAATACCTAAAGCAGGTAACTCGTAAGCTGGAGAGGAAATAGCGTGTCACAAATTTAGAAGATCATCATTTAGCCTGGAGAAATAGTTTGCTGCTTTCTTATAAAGCAACCATCTCCAACCTTCCTTTATATCAAACATCCTTGAAAGAGTAGTTGTCAAACAGCTAACAGATCATCTGCAGAGGTTTATTTGAAGAGTTTCAGTCAGGTTTCAGAGCTCAGCACAGCACAGAAACAGCTTTAGTGAAGGTTACAAATGATCTTCTTATGGCCTCTGACAGTGGACTCATCTCTGTGCTTGTCCTGCTAGACCTCAGTGCAGCGTTCGATACTGTCGACCATAATATCCTATTAGAGTGATTAGAACATGCTGTAGGTATTACAGGTACTGTGCTGCAGTGGTTTGTATCATATCTATCTAATAGACTCCAGTTTGTGCATGTAAATGGAGAGTCCTCTTCACACACTGAGGTTAATTATGGAGTTCCACAGGGTTCAGTGCTAGGACCAATTCTGTTTACATTATACATGCTTCCCTTAGGCAGCATCATTAGAAGACATAGCATACATTTACACTGCTATGCTGATGACACCCAGCTCTATCTGTCCATGAAGCCAGATAACACACACCAATGAGTTAAACTGCAGGAATGTCTTAAAGACATAAAGACCTGGATGGCCGCTAACTTTCTGCTTCTTAATTCAGATCAAACTGAGGTTATTGTACTCGGCCCTGAAAAGCCTAGAAATATGGTATCTAAGCAGATTCTTCCTCTGGATGGCATTACCTTGGCCTCCAGTAACGCTGTGAGGAACCACAGTGACACACACACACACACTGTGTGTGTTCACAGCCGCAGGTCTGACCTCAGCCGGTGCTCTCTCTCCTCTCAGGGTATCCCGAGCTGCCTCCGTCCTGCTGTCCGACCCCTGCTTCCAGCTCCACTCCATCCAGCACCTCCTGGGAGAAGGAGGCGAGTCCTCCAGCTCCTCGGCAGCCGTGGCCTCCAGCGTGCGTCCTGCGGTGGGCTCTCTGGGGTCGTCCGTGGCTGCCCCTGTCCCGTCGGCCGCTGGAAACTCGGGATCCTCAGAGCGCAAACACTTCTCCCTGCACGCATGTGAGTAGATGATCTTTGGTGGCTTTGGTGGGCGTGGTTACCAAGGTGGGGAAAATGTGACCGGTGGTAGCTGCAGATTTGTGCTTAGTAGGAAGTGATGTCACACACTGCTGTCATCTCTGAGACACACTCCAGCCTCCGACCCAGCTGTCAGGGTGCATTGTGGGTAGAGCTACATGTACAGGACAGCTTCAGGCCTGGAGTCAGACCAAACAAACGTGTGCATGCAGTAAATAATTCCCTGTGCTTTTGCTGTCGGGATTACGGTCAGGGTGAGCAGCCAGGGAAAGGGTTACGTCAACTAGATGTCCCCACAAGATATGAATATCCGCCGTGTGTGTGTGTGAGTGTGTGTGTGTGTGTGTGTGAGTGTGTGTGTGTGTGTGTGTGTGTGTGTGTGTGTGTGTGTGTGTGAGAGAGAGTGAATGGGCACCTCCCACACGTGTGAATGCGAGCGTCTTGCTTTGTGGTGGGAGCAGGAAGCTGTCTGCCTGCTGCTGTAATATTCACAATAACAGGTGGAGTATTGGAGTGAGTGTAAACACGCTGATGCCAGCAGCGCTCCAGAGCGAGATCAGCTGGTGCCTCTGATGTGGTCGGAGGTGGAGGCCTTCCTGAATCAGTGTGTGTTTGTCTTCACAGTGATGTGAGATCCTGAAAATAAAAAGATTCCCCCGGTCCTGGTTTCTGCTTCACCATCTGAGTGTGGAGCAGGCTGCAGGGGCCTGTAGCTGTGGGCTCGCTGCTCGTCTGTGATTGGAGATCGGGCTGCAGGGGCAGCTTCTCTTGTGCTGGAGTCTCGTTATGCTGGGCAAACACTGTGCGATTTTTTTCAGTCGCGCGATTCAGCTCCTGCTCAAACTGCACGATTGACTCGCAGGGGTTAGAGGTTCATAGGTCACGATGCAGGTCTCACACTATACGGCCCGATGCTCTGATGCGACCTGAGTGCTCACACTGTGCCTCCATAACATGAAGGTTATAACAGAAGCTCTGTCGCTCGCTCTCCCTCTCTGTCTTTCACTCACACACCACCACCACCACCAACTTTGCTAAATTGCTAATGAAAAACATGATCAGGCAGCTGTGATTGAGCAGCATGTAAATCCAACTGTGTGACAAACTGCGGTGACACCCTCACGACCAAGCGATTGATGATCGGGAGCTGGTCGTGAGGTGTTAATCGCGTCTCGTTAACCCACATATACTACACGACGCACGATGAAGGCCAAAACGGTCGCACGACTCAAAAATCGGCTCAAAATGGGCCAAAAATCGCACAGTGTGAGCCCAGCGTTACTCGGAGGGCGTGCGAGGACAGAAACACGATGTTTGGTTTGTGCTTTCAGACTGAATCAGCTGGATGCTGCGCCAAGCGTGTGCTTTGGAAACGAGCCTGTAATGTTATTTGGACCTCAGAGTAATTGTGTTTGTGCTGCAGTGGCTTCTGTCATGATCACAGAGCTGTGAGTGCAGCTCAGAGGACAAACACTGCCTCTCGCTGCCACGCTTCATGTTTCAGGCAGCTTTGCTTTGCTCGATGTGCAGCGCTCCGACTCACCGGCCTTCGGGCTGTTTGCTGTGATGTTGGATTACAGCTGATAACTGATAACACTTTTCCTCTCTGCTGTTAGTGAGGCACAGGGTGCTGCAGGGCAGAGACAGAAGGAGAGTAGCAGGAGTGAAGGGGAAGCTTTAAAGATGGCAGTGAGACCTGCTGTGGCGGTGTGCAGAGCTGCTGAGGGTGAAGTCCGAAGCTGACAGCCTGAGAGCTGGAGGCGCGCTGGCGCTGGAACCCGCAACACGTACGTGAAGGCGGTGTTTCGCTGTCGTCACTGAATCGGCGTGTGACTCTGTGGTAACATCACCCACCTCCTGACATGCAGTCGCAGAAAACGCCTGTGGCCTTATAGTGGAGCTCGCCACAGGGGATGGCCCAGTCGTTGTGACATCCTTATCCGTTGCCACGGCAATGCAGACAGTTTCCATGACCACGATGTGTGTCATCATGTAGAGGATATGTGCCTGGAAGGGAGGTGTCAAAATTAAATATCTGTCCCGAGATTATTGTAGCCAGAAAACATCAAAACGACACCGGGCCTTACCGAGCTCCCATAACCTGATTCTGGAATAACCTGAAATATTCTGGAATAAGGTCAGATACATGAAATAATCGGGATTAACCAGACATAAACACGACAGCCTGAATTGTAAAATAAACTGATACCTGCTGGAGTTAACATGAAGTCCTATAGAAACAGAATCTTTTTAACTGAGATGATGAAACTAGTTTAAACGCGATCACTGATGTCATTTACAGCTCCTCAGTGTGCCACAATGACACGCAGGGTCAGGTTAAAGGTTAAAGGTGCTAATACGTCTCTCAGCTGACAAACACCCTGCACGGCTGTGGGTCACCTCAGAATCAGAGAGACTTTATTTATCCCCACTTAACAAACAACAGAGCAGCACGATGTTGAAGATGAGGACAATAAGAACAGGCGATAAGAGTGAGATAATAAATACACAGTTAATACAGTTTTAAAATTAAAGCGACTGAAAGATGAATAAATAACTGTAAGTGACTAAAAGAATAAAGTGTCGGTTGTATAAGAAGAGAGTAGTTTATGTTTCTGGTCTCATCGGCTGGAGTTAAAAAGCAGAGCTGCTTTGGGGACAAAGGTGGCGCTCCTCCTCCGCTCAGTCCTGCAGGAAATGCAGCGGAGGCGTCGCCCAGAGGGGAGCCATTGAAATGCGGGGTGAAGAATGTGAGAGGGGTCGCTGATGATTTTGGCTGCCTGTCTGAGGCCTGTTGGCTGAAAACCTGCCAGAGTTCTGACAGGCCAATGACTGTAGAGCACGCTGATGCAGTGCGCTGCAGTCTGTTCCTGTATGAAGGCTGAGGGAGTGGAACCAGCAGGTGATGGAGAAGGTCGTGATGCTTTCCAGGAAGGCGTAGTAAAAAGTCATCATGATGGGGGTGCTGACTCCAAAGGAGTTTCCTAAGGAGGTGTAGCCGTTGGTGGCACCTCCTGAGAATCTCCTCTGTGTTGGCAGAGAATCTCAGGAGGTTGTCAAAGATGGTTCGCAGGTATTTGTGCTCCTCAGCTACCTCCACTGGCTTCCCGTGGATGGTGGTGGTGACTGAAGCAGCCAGATCCCTCTGCCTGCTCGAGAAGGTCACCACCATCTCTTTGGTTTTGCTCACGTTCAGTTCAAGTTTGAGCTGTCACACCACTCTACAAACTCCTGCAGAGCGGGCCCGTGGTGTTGTGAGGGCCTGACAGCAGTGACAGGAGAACTGTGTCGTCAGCATATTTCACCAGGTGACAGAGCTGTGTGGATCTGCAGTCATCAGCGTAGAGGATGAAGAGCAGGGGGGAGAGCACACAGCCCTGGGGGGAGCCAGTGCAGGTGGAACGGAGAGAAGAAAGAGAGCTGTTGACCCAAACTTTCTGAGTCCTGTTGGTCAAAAAGTCCAATATCCACAGGATCAGCTGATCATCAGGTGAAATCGGGAGGAAAGTTTAGTGGGCAGGATGTGAGGCTGCAGAGTGTCGAAGGCTGATGAGAAACCAGCAAAGTCTGGTGGAGGAGTCAGGGAGCTCCAGACGTTTGTGGATGCAGTCCAAGATGAAGACTTTTGCATCATCGACACCTCTGCGTGCACGGTAAGGAAACTGCAGGGTCCATCAGGGGGTCAGTTGCTCTTACAATGTGCTGTTTTATGATCAGGTCAGCCACTAATCAGAAGGTCGGTGGTTCGATCCCAGGCTGCCTCCTGCATGCCAAATATCCTTGGGCAAGATACTAACCCCGTGTTTGCCTACTGGTGGTGGTCAGAGGGCCCAGTGGCGCCAGTGTCCAGCAGCCTCGCCTCTGTCAGTGCGCCCCAGGGTGGCTGTGGCTACAATGTAGCTGCCATCACCAGTGTGTGAATGGGTGGATGACTGAATGTAGTGTAAAGCGCTTTGGGGTCCTATGGACTAGAAAAGCGCTATACAAATGCAGGCCATTTACCATGTTGTCCGTCTCAAACCTGGTGTAGAAAGCGTTGAGGTCGTCAGGGAGGGAGGAGGGGTTGCTGCCCTCCACCTCAATGGTTCTGGAGGTGGTGACCGCAGCATTCACAGAGGCCATGGTTTTGAGGCCCTGCCAGGCTGAGTGGAGGTCCCCATGTTTTTATACATGTCCGTGAGCAGCAGCTCAGAGTGGGCGTGGACGTGCCGGTTCACCCTGTGACAGACAATGAGCAGTTCATCACACACCTGCTGAACACCTGAACAAGCAGAACACTGAATGTCTCTGCTCCAGAGCTCAGCGCCCTGAAACAGAAGTACCTGCTGCAAGCTCCTATCGTGACAGAGGCACGGCGCGAACACGCAGAGCAAACAGACGACGACATGAATGAGAGGGTAAACAGGAGGTGATAAAGACGGAGCATCGATGCAGCAGAGGGAGGAGCTGCGTGGACAGCTGCGATGTGCTCGTCTGTCTGTAAGAGGAGTAATGTTCACCCTGCCAGCTGCCCCGGGCCCCAGATTGGCTCCCGGCAGGGGGTCTGTGACAACATGAGCCTCTGGATGCTCTGACCTCTGACCTCAGTGAAAACAGGAAGTTAATTTTAGTCCTCTCAGAGTCACAGAGAGCAGGAAGCAGGGCGGGGCTACTAGTGATTTACTGGTCAAAGGTTGATGAAGGTGATGATGACGATGAGCTGGGTCATGTGCAGCCTCGCCGGCTGACCTTCATCTGTGCGAGCAGGTTAACGATGATGATCTGTGGTAACGTGATAGAGAGCGCACACCATGCTGTTCCCAGTACAGAGCTGCACACACACAGGATTATTCATGGCACCAGGGAAACCCAAGCAGTCAGCTCATTGATCAGCGATCAGCATTATTGATGGCAGGGCTCGGTCTGAGCAGCGTGGGCGGTCCGAAGCTCCTGCAGACTGCGTGAGACGTCGTAGTGAAGCAGAGCTCGGAGCTTCCTCGGTG